TCAGAGGCTTCAAAAAGAAAAGCTTTCTCTCCTTGTCCAGTTGCTCCCACATTATTAACACTTCGAGTGCTGACCGGCAACAAAGCTTGATTCCATACAGAAAAGGCCACCCCTGTATCCACCCAAAATTGTAAGGATTTTCCTTTTTCCCTGGCTGAGTTTTTACCGAGGGCTCCACTGGGGAGGATTCCCCTGGTCCCCGACACTCCAGCTCTGCCACAGTCCCAAACCCTGAATCTTGTAGCAACTGAGGACGCTCCTTTTTCCACTGTCCAAATTCTTTACAGTAAGCACACTGACAGCTTTTCAGCTCCATCCAACCCCTGAACCGAGTCCCCCTCTTCCTTCCCATTTTTGTAGCTTCCTTGTATGATCCAGATGCGATTGCCCAATAAGTCAATACATTTCCCAGTGACAAAGCAGCTCCCTCTCTGTCTGGATCTAAGTCAGAATATTTCCCAGCAGTTTCACAGAACCGCTCGTAAGATGCGGGAGGTTTTTCATCCTTCCCTTGGTTAACCTGGTAATGACATTTTTCACTCCAGATAAAATTAGACTTTGATTTCCAAGGTCTGTGCTGATGGATGGAGATTTTCCTTGTATGTTCCAGCCATTTCTCTCCACGCCTTAACTCATCTCCAGACAAGGGCACTGTAACTCACCCCGGCTCTCCCTCCGGTCCCACCGCTGCCTCAGAGGGGCTGGGAACGCAGCTCCTCCTCGTCTGCTCCGTCCCACAATTGGACTGAAAGTTTCAGTCCTGAAAGCTCTTTTTCTTTCTTTTTTTTTTTTATTTTTATTGCCAGCCACCCTCTATTTATTTATTTATTTATTCCAACCCCGTAGCACAACCCACAACTGAACCCCCTTCTCCTCCACATCCTCTGCATCTTTCAGCACTACCTGCCGAACCATCATCGTTTCAGTCGATAGCTTTCCCGTTATCCATTTCCATCCTCAGAACATCAGCATCCTTGGCAATCAATCCACAATTCTTCCAACTCTCTATTATTATATGTTGATAATAAATCAACATACGGCATCTTCTCTCATTTTTCTTCCCTCCTACGAAACAGCCCTAACTGTAAAATAGCATTATACTTCCCAGATACATCCTTTGGCCATTTCTCCTGCTGCATCAGCCACCAATGACCACAACACTCCCTGAGCTGCCCCCGAGCCAGAGGATCTCCCCGCTCCCCCCACTCCAACACCCACCCCAGAGGAGATTTCCTTGTCATTTTTTTTCCATTTTTCGTGTCAGACCTCACTGATCTCTGGCACCTGTGACAAGGGGCTGTAAGTACCAGAGAACAGCCTTTCCACTCACCACACGATTTGCAGCCACCCACAGAGGTATCACACCTCAGCTGGAGATCAGGATTTTGCACAGTCACAGTGAGTTTTTCTCTCACAACCAAGTTGATATTTTCATCAAACTCTATCCCCCGTCTCAATTCGTGTCTTCATCCACAAATTCCCCTTCATACAAAGTACAAAGCGTTCTCCTCCTTTCCCAGGGAACCCACACCTGACACTGAGGGCAGTCAATACCCTGCTCACACCACATCCATTCCAAAACAGACCCAGGTCTGCAGTTATTGGACACAACAGGCACCATCTGGGCTCCCACGTTCACTCCGCGACTGCCGCTTACGATGGTGTCTGTTATCAGTCGCTCCGTCCTCTGGGTGTTTCCCTCGCGGGATCCGCACTCCACACTCGCTTCCTACCTATTTGTACGTCTCATTCACACACGATCACACAATTTCCAATCTAAAGATAAACAAACAGTCACAAATTTTCAAATGCCTTCGAAGCAATAACTGAATCCAACTGAAACAATTCTTTCACCAGATTTCCATTTGCCTGTTTTAAAGAGACAAACAGAGGGACAAAACTTACAGTTACCAAGAGATTTACCAGCCACCCACTCACCCCTTCCAGGCAGATGAGCAGAGGCACCCCAAACTTACAGACTTGCCAAATACCAGGTGTAGGTGTAAGAGGACACGAGCAGTCCTGCATACGGCTCACCCTGCGTTAAAACAGTAACGACTGACGGGGAACCACCAAATGAACCAGTTCCCATAACTAACATTAAATTCCAAAAGAATTCCTTCTGGTGATGGTCCCTGCCTGCTCCTGCAGTGAGCCGAGGAGTCCCTCTGGAGAAGTATCCGGGGTTACCCAAGGGACTTCTGTTCTCAAGGGAGCTGTCAGAGAGGGTCCCACCTTGGTGCCAAATCTGATCCCGACTCATTCTGGAGTTGCAGAAAGCAGGAATTGTTTATTGCAGCGCTGGACACGCACGGAGATCGCTCCCCCAAGGTGTGTGTGTGTCTGTCTTTGTTTCAGCACACCTTATACTGACCTAATCCATGTACATCCATTGAATTTCTCAGAAATTATCTACATATTCAAAACATTTCCCGTAGCTATTTAGCATATGTAAATGTCCTCCACGCTTACGCAGTAAAATGAGTCGGTGATCTTCCACAGCCTTCATCACTATCTGCTGACTGAACTCCTCTCCGATTCTGCACACACTTGGGACAATATTCCTTGAAGGATGTTTGGTCATTAGTCTTCATCCACGTGTCCTTCCTCAGGCTTAAACACTTCTGATAGTTTTCTGTTAGAACACCTGCAAAAGGTCCTGAGGTTCTCAGCAGTTTGTGAGGACGGATACAATTTCATTCGAAGGTTGTTAGCATATGTAAATATCAAACCGCGAGGTGATGAATGCTCATCCCATGGTTATCAGCAATTTTATTCAAAGGTTGTTACAACAGCTGGGTGATGTCTAAATCTAATTAAGCAAGCAACTAAGGGATCTAGAGATCTTTTAGTTCCTAATTTCTCACGGTTTACTCTTTCAATAGCCCTCCATGGGGCTGCAAGGGGACAACCTGCTTCCACATGGTCTTCTCCACAGGCTGTGGGGTGTTCTGCTCCAGCAGCTCCCTCTTCACTGACCTTGTTGCCCACAGGGTTGCTTCTCTCGCATTTTCCTCCTTACTCCTCCCTCCCACAGCTGCTGTGCAGCATTTTCACCCTTTCTTAAACACATGATCACGGAGGCACCATCACCGTCGCTGACAGGCTCAGCTTTGGCCAGTGGTGGGTCCAGTTTGGAGCTGGCTGGAACTGGCTCTGTCCACCCTGGAGCCAAAGGCCATTCCCGCAGCTTTACCCCATCCCACCACCAAAACATTGTCACAGGGACCCAATACACACAATTAACTCCGGCTGAATCAGTCTCTCCCAGGCTACCTACCACGTGTGCACAGAAAATTTCATCCCTCAAATGGTCTTAAATTATCACTTGCTAATTCTCTGCGAGATTTAGTTACATATCAAAGTAAATATAAAGTCTATTTTCCCATTTCAATTTACATCAGTGAACAGCTGTGGTCACAGACGGATTATCATCTACTCTGTGATCAAGCTTAAGGTTCCTCTTGATCCTGGCTTTGTGTCAGCTCTATCTGCTGCACCCTGTCCACCTTTGTTGCAAACCTTTCCGTTTCCTTTGATCCCCATCTCTCTCTACCCAGTTGGAAGCCAGAGCACCACTTGACCTGGTGTTAGAGAGTGAGCTGCAACAAACAGAGCTGTTTCCCCAGGTAAAGTCCTGAGTCAAAACCCCAGTTACGGGAGAAGGTAAAATTTCACCTCTAGCATGACTGTCTTCTCCCTCACCACAGCACAAATCTTATAAGTGTTAATGGTTTAATATCATTGATACCATTAACACACATCACGTGTAGACGTGGTGCTCAGGGACACAGTTTAGAGATGGATGTGGCAGTGTTGGGTTTATGGTTGGACTCGATGATCTGAAAGGTCTTTTCCAATCTAAATGATTCTACGATTCTACTCTTGACACAGCAGAATACACTGGCAAAAGGGAACAAGACCCAAAGTTTGGAAGCCCCTGCTCTAGGAAGATACAGAGCTGTAACACGGATCCGCTTCTTCACACAAGGCAGTCCAGAAATCTTCTCCTTAGAGCACACAAGTAGTTATAAGAAGAGCATCAACACAGCTAAATACGTTAGGGACATTCTGAACAACGCAACGCCGCAGCCTTCCAGCTCACTGACATGAGCAGCATTTGTATCACGCAGAGTACATTAATAGTTTATTCAGCAGAGCTGTACAAGTATTCAAAGGTAACAAAAGAATTCAGGAGAGTCAAATGACTTGTAATAACAGCTGGTGAGATGCAGCAGGCTGGCGTGAGAGCCACAGCACAACCCGCAGCAGTTCAAGAGAGCGTCGACCGTTGATGTCCCCACCGGTTACTGCTGGGAACCATCCCAGGGAACAACCTCCAGGCTCTGCCCAACCTCCCACCCACGGCACCGCCGCTGCCGGAGGGGCACCTTCATTTGCAGGGGATCACTTTATTGCCACTCACAGCCATGGGAATCAGGAGCTTCCTGTACTCCAGAGGGAGGTAACGCTCTATCAGCACGTGCAGCGGCATCTTGTCTGTCACCAGCCCCTGTCTTTGTCCAAAAAGAGGAGAGCAGAGAAGAAACAGAACTGTTAGCAAAACGTGTTTCCACTCAGTGTCAGAGTGAAGTTTTTAAAGTTTTCTTGCAGTGATGTTTTTGTATTTAACAGCTGAAGCGCTGTGGCTGCTTGTGATAGAAAAGCTACAGACTTCTGTTTGCAGGCAGCTTCCCCAGGTGATGCCCCAGGTCCTGCGCAGACACCAGGCTGGTCTCCATGTGAGAGCAGAGCAGGAGCCCCTGCGGGGCAGCTCCCCGCAGAGGTACGTGTTTCTCACTCTGCCTGTCAGCGTATCCATCTATACTGCAATATAAAGTCACTGCTTTTTAAATTCCCAATCCACCTGCCACGGGATCAATTCTACCATTTAAAGAGCCGCACAGAATGATGTAACAGAAGCAAAGAGCTCAGGACCCAGCAGATTTTTTTACATTCACAATTCACAGGTGATTGGCATTTTCAAACTGGGCAGGCCACGTGGTTTTCTAGTGCACCGTGTAGCTGATTGGCCTGACACGTCAGCATCTCCTGGTCTTGTAGAAAGAAAAAAAAGCAATATTTATCCATGCTCTCCTTGTGGAAGGAACAGAAATACTGTTCTTATTCATGAAGTGGCAACAATTACTGACCCCTGTATGAGGGGGCAGAAGACATCCAGACAAAGGTACACGAGTACGAGTTAGAGAATCCTCAGACCTGGGCAGCTCACCCAGCACACCTCTCAGCCTGTTCCTGCTCACTTCAGCAGGCACCTCTCAGGGGGGAAAATGACAATCTCCAGACCAGGACAGCAATAGATTCTTCTTTTTAAGCAGCAGCACCAGCTCCATCTACACGGGCCCAGGCAAAACTAATGCTCTTCATTAGACGTGCCCCACAAAACCCCTCAGATTGACTTCAGCATCACATCTGAAACTCTTCCAGTGGAGACGAGGAATAACGACTTGGAATAATGACTTTAAATGAGGAGTGATGAATTTGTTTCAGGCTCTACAGAGTTTTACAGAGGGCTCTCAAGCTAAGAACACATCCCTCGTGTTTTGGTCACAGGATAAAGCAAATTCATGCACAAGATGGGGCAGCTGGGGGAGCCCACAGGCAAGAGCAGGAGTGGGAGGCTCTGAGAACAGTTCATCCAGGCTGCTGGTCAGGGGAACAGCGCTGGCAGGAGAGGCCAGTCCTGGCCTGCCAGCCTGGAGGCTCATTCTCCTGCTCCGGAGAGGAACTGTCAGTTTGAGCCCTAAGCATCAGCTTTTGCAGAAGCAGGAAGAGTGGGATTTTGTTTGGAAGAGTAAGTCACCAAAAGAGAGAGCAGGGCATGTGAAAACACTCACACCATGTCAGCTGCAAGTGCTTTTAGCAGAGATCACTCAGGGAAGCAAACGGTGCAGCTCAGCCTCACGCTTTTTCTGCTGCTACTCTGCTTTTTCTGCTGTCACCATCCCCAGCCACAACCTGCTTCACCCTCACACACATCCCGCTCCTCTTACTTCTTCCTCAGACAGCTCCCACACTCCCGACCCCTCACGACTTCCTCTTGCCCCTCCACCACCTTCATTGTGAAAAAAAACCCTGAGCCCACGAATGTCCTCCTGGGACAGAAAGCCAAGTGGCATCACGCAGAGTAAATCACAAGATGCCACACTCGCCATGGAAACACTGGCTGCTCGTGCACACCCGGGCAAGGACAGTCTCACCAGGCTGCCAAAGCACCACCAAACACTTCCACAGGTTAATAACAACCCTCCCTTTACCTTCTCATGAGGACTTCCAGGTCAGCCATCTCCACTGTCTTCCTCCCTGCATGGCTGCTGTAAGCTTCCAGGTCATTGCTTAGCTGCTTGAAGTATCTCTCAGAGCTGAAGGAGGATTAAGGAGGGAAACAAATCAGGCTGTGGAGTGTGGGAGCTTCTGTAGGGCAAGAGGCACTACAGCTGCTCGCTGTGCAGGTGTCAGCCCACCGGGGAAAACTGCGGGAGAAGAAACTCTCCAGCTCACAGAATGAAGTATGGCTCCAGCCCGAGCTCCCTGTGCAACAGCTGCACGTTCAACAACCAGAACCTTCCCCAAAATCCCCACACAACCAAGAACAGGGGTTAACATAAGCGCAATATCAGCACTGGGGACTGATTAGACTCTCAGCTCTTAGGCTGATCCTGTTCAAACAATCCACACGTTTGCTCATGAAGGTAACGTGCTCCATGGATCCAAAGAGCAGAGAAACCTGGATTCAGATGTAACACTGCACAGCCGAGAGCTTCACCTCAGCCAGCACATGGAGCGTTCTCCAGAGCCACCCCGCTCACAGAGAGTGCTACTGGTACCCGTGTGCTGTTACAGAATCCCAGAATCCCAGACTGGTGGGGTTGGAAGGGACCTCAGGAGATCATCCAGTCCAACCCCCCTGCCAAAGCAGGTTCCCCAC